TTTATGTAATTGCGCTTGGGAGGATTAGAATGTAGGAATGGGTTATGGGGTAACAACAAATAACAAATATGTATATATTTATATAATTTCGGTTTTTCGGTTAACCGAATTTTTAAATTTAAAACCGAAAACCGAACCGAAATATCAAAATTTTAAAATTCAAAACCTTAACCGACCGAAATAACCGAAAAACCGAAAAGTGTCTAATCACCAAAAGTCTAACCCCAAAAATAAGGTTTTTCGAATTATTTATAAAAAACAAAAACCTAATAAAAAAAGGACTATAATTGCTAGAAATCTGTCAAAACGCGGCTGGGTCGACGGACCTCGTGACGAGTCATCGTGGATTCCGTCGTCCCATACTTTGCAAATTCTTCTGCTACTCTCTTCATTACCCTTGACGGTAGGTATGACAGATCGTCACAGGCACAATGGTCTGTCGAGGATCTTCGTTCCATAACACTTAAACTCTTTGGAATTTGGGTACTGGACTACTTCTCTGATCATCACGATGAACCAGCCAGGACAGACCGTCATGGCTACGACGGTCCGTCACGCATTTCGTAACCCCACACTTGGTCAGACTTTCTCATCTTCCTTCAGCAGCTTCACTACGATGCCACCTACGGACAGTCACAAGCTCCGTAGGTGGTACTTTTCTGCATTTCTTGCTCAAAAACTTCCGCGTTCATCTTTAGACAAATTTCCTGCAAATAAAGAGAAACTTACATAAAAATTAATATAAAAAGACTTTTGGACATACACTAAACTTAAAGAAAAACATTAAAAATATCGTGAAACCACGGTATATCAACACCCTTAACTTAAATTCGTTGTTTGTCCTCAAGCGACGCACTATGACTCACTACAAAATCTTTGTACAATAGTATCCATGTTTTATCTTTCGCTATCAATCCCGATTAGTCTCATCATATTTCTGCATGTTATCACTATTAGGCTTGAATTATGTGGAATTAGACCATGACACAGACTCACCACACACTAACACCTATCCTCTTTAATTTCTCACCGAGGTGTTAATATTTCCGGTAGCAACTAGTGTCCTCACTTCAAAACAACATCCTCATTTTTCACACAATGATTTCAATTTGAGTATAAGGATTACTTTTCAACACTCACTCTCAGAACAAATTGACAACTCATTCATACATATTGCCATAAGCTTGCCCTTATTTTCACTGCTTTAAGTTCACTATACAACTCTTAGGATCACGATAGGACTTTCTTAGCTTGTAACATAGGCTCAGGGTCAGGTATATTTAGGTATACTTTAGTGATTTTTTGCCCTCCTTGACATATCGGCCAAACATACCACTTTTTATCATTTTATTTCATCCAGTTTCTCATATTTTTTCACCTTGCTATTTTCCCTTCTTTCGTTATTTGTGTAAGTGATTCTCTTCTTTTCTTACTTGTATTTATTATATTTTTTTTATTTATTTCACTTTTCTTTCAACTGATTCTTGAGTCACTTTACTTTTGTTCTTTCTCTCTCTTTGTTCTTTCAACCTCACTTTCCAGAGCATTCCTCATAATGGTCACCCTCAACTCATGGCTTTGCCATGAGTCAAAGTACACAATACCCAAAGTTGGGTCAGAGCCATAAAAAATTGCTTACTGCATTAGCCACCCTCAACTTATGCTTTTGGCATAAGCTGAGGTGCACATGTCCAAGGCCAACACATAATTCCCAATAAAGATCAGTTGGGGTGAAAAACGAAGGTCTAGTTTAAGCTCAAATCATTTGGATCAAAGAAGGATTAATTTTATTTTTTTTTAGGCTAAAAATGTGTTATATATTGAACAAGGGCTTATGATCATTTTCTAATTGTCTATTACAACTTACTTTTAGCAGGACTAACCAGGCAAGTTCTAGCTCAGTACAAATAGTGGACTATTCAAATCTTCCTCACACTCACTTGACATCTCGTTACTCTACCAGATTATCAGACACCTAGTTCGAATTTTAGACTTAGGGTCATGAAGTGGTGTAGTGTATCTCTATGTCATGCTTAGAGTCACACATTTATCAATTACTATGCCTAGTCATGCATCATTTTCATTTCATCGGGATATCATTTTAGCCATCAAGCTTCAGAGTTAAACTATGTATACAAGATATAGACATGCCGGTTCCACAGTAAAAATAATCAGTCTCTTGGGGAAAAAGAACACAGGCAAGTAAAAACCCAAAAGAGGATAGTGAATTGGGCTACTCAGACTTCACCCTAGCACTCACTTTCCATTTACCCCACCCCCAACAAAAAGACATGCAATTGTCCCCAATGCATAAAAAAATTGAAATACCAGAGTGGTAGGTGAAGCAAACTTGGGGCGCAAAGCGCCGACGATCAGCAAGCTGGTGGGTCCGGTTCACCGGAACCCACTACCTCTGTAATCTGGACACCCTCAGTAGTGTCCTCATCAGCAACAACACTATCAACAGTGCCTCCCGCCATCACCACATCTCTGAAACTAGATGCCCCAGCAACTGACTCTACAACCCTCATCCGACGCGCCTCCTCATCAGCAAGCGAGGCTCTTCTCGCAGCCTCCATCTCACGACGCTCTTTCTTCCGTGCTCTAGCCTCATCCTCCTCTCGACCCCTACGCCTCTTGGCATGCTCTCGAGGGGGAGGTGGTGGAATCTCAAAAGTGGCGAATAAGGCCGCAATCACTGTGTCCTTAGCAGGCTCTGCAGAAGAGGCCTCAGACTCAAGCACCCTAGCCTCTAGGATCATATCAATGTCTGCTCGAAGACTCTCGACCGCAGCCTGAAGGGTCGACACATCCACCTGAGGGGCTGGCTGGGCTAGCACCTGCAACTCGAAAGCGTCCAAGCGCTGATGAACCTCAATGATCTTTCGCTCTGTGTGCTGGACCATTCTCCTCTCCAAGCGCTCTTCTGCCTTAGCAATAAACCTCTGCATCCAAGGCTGGATGTGATGCAAAAGAGTAGCCATCTGTGCCTCTAGTTTCTAGACCCTAGCAAGCGGGACCAGAGCGGGGAAAGGGGCTGAGCGAGAGGAGCTCGGGGCAGTGCTACTACCCGGGATAGACTCGACCGGGGTAGTGTCAGTGGTTCCAGAAGCAGCCTGCGTAGCCGTGCGAGCCCGTGCCATCGTATCAGCCAGATTGTGACCAAGTTAAGGCAACTCTAAACGAGGCCCTCTGCGAGGAGCGAACTCATTGGCCTCATCCCTGATGAGGCCGATATCGACAGTGCCTAGCAGAGTTTTGAGCTGATCAATGTGTCAGATGGGCACACCTGCATAAAGAAAATATCATGCACGGAAAAAGGTAAGTAGTTGTGACCTTAAAAGTCCTCTCGTGCATGACCGCCTGTAGAAGCCAAGCAAAGTCCACCTCAAACCTGACTATCATCGCTGCCATCAGAACTGCACGATTTCATGTGACTATATTATCAGCGGTTGTGGGGGAAAAGCAGTGGCGGACAATCAACCATAAGAACTTAGCCGTGAGGGTCATGTTAGCCTTCTTGATGGCTCCCTTCGGCTCCATTACCCAGTCGGCACCCTCTCTATCAACAGACAAGTGCAGGGCCATCCACTTCTGGCTCACGCAAGAATTGGCCATCTTTGATAATTTGCCACCGGTAGTCAAACTCGGCGGTGAGAGGGGTCGGATTGGCATCAACATCCTCGCCGTATAGATACCGGCGGATGGCAGGCAGGAAGATATCGACCTGAATGCCACGTACTCGGACATGCTAAAGTGGGGCCTGTTTGGCGGGGGCAGCCCGCCTATCAATCTGTGATCTGAGAGTAGCCACGTAGGAGGCGTAGAACTCTCGGACCACTTCACTATAACGGCCCAAAGAACGCGCTCTCCACTCCAGTCGGTGTCTGGTGAAGAGATTGTGGATCTCTTGCATAGTAGGGAGACTTCCCGTAAGGACCCGCCTCTCCAATGTAAGGGTCCGTCATGACTCCTTTCTCATTCAGAAATTTTGCGTCTGAACCCCACACTTGGTTACGACTGTCCGTCACGCACTTCGTAACCCCACACTTGGTCAGACTTCCCCATCTTCCTTCAGCAGCTTCACTACGATGCCACCTACGGACTGTCACAAGCTCCGTAGGTGGTACTTTTCTGCATTTCTAGCTCAAAAACTTCCGCGTTCATCTTTAGACAGATTTCCTGCAAATAAAGAGAAACTTACATAAATATTAATACAAAAAAGCTTTTGGACATACACTAAACTTAAGGGAAAAACATTAAAAATACCGTGAAACCATGATATATCAGCCCCCTAGCATGTGAATATTGAGCAGTCATGGCCGTGGTACCAATATGATGTTAATATGGATACTAGGGTTATGCTTATGTGGGATGTATTATACTGTTTTTGAATAGGAAGATTTTGATAAGTAGGGGCAAAGCTACCATTTGGATATTAGATTGTACTTTTGCTTTTGTCATAAAAAAAAGACTTTAGTTTTGCTTATGTTAGTTTTCTCATCAGAAGAATACATCAATTAGTGATTGTAACAATAATAACTAAAGGGTGTATATGTCAAACAAAACCGAATAAATAAATATACTAACCACCTTATTGTGTTATCAGAAGAATATATGTTTGATAAACAGGATATTTCTCACAAGAAACAAAATCATGATGAAGAACATAAGAAACAACATATACTGTGTTTCAGGCATATTTTACCTTGAACAAATAGGAAACTGATAAACGGTCTATAATGTGATATCCGTGCTTTGTAGAGTATCATTTCCCCAAATATACAAAATGACAACCATTTTCACCTATCTTCACATGATCTTTTAATTTTACTTCATTTTGTGCAGTCTGTTGTCAGTTCCAATATTTAATGAAGTTACTTTGCATTTCTGTTCAGTATAGCTATTTGTTTTGATTTTGTCTTGATATTTACCGTCTCAAGTACTCAAGCTGAAAAAGTCACCTCAAATTTTGTACAAACTGATAATTTTAATTGCAGGTGGACACTAATCTGAAATCACCAGATGATTTTGTTACTGAGGGAGTGTCTGGTATCCGTGAAACTTATGATATTGCGCCGTACTCTGCTATCCTTCTTGAAGCAAAGTAATAATTACCGGAGTTATGCTGCTTTGGATGTTGTTCATGTCTATTACACTATTACGTCCTTCTGGATTGGATAGTTAAAATCGAAATTCAGGTGCTAATATAAGCATATAGTTAGCATATAAATGTAGTATTTTGAGCAGAAACTTTGTGATGACCAACCAGTTTGTTCAGGCTGCCATTGACAGGTGCCAGGTTGTTTGAGACAGGTAAACTTGGTGCCTCAACATCCTTTTTTTTCTAAGGAAAAAAATAATATGCCAATAGGATAGTTTTATTGGCATTTTTTATTAATAAAGTAGAGATCAAAACTGTAGCTTACATCATGTACTAGAGAGAAATACTATTAACTAAAGTAGAGTTCAAGCCAAAATGGTTCTCCCTTCCTAAAACATGATTTGTAACTAACACTTGCCAACACTCACCATTAGGTAAGTCAATCCATAACTTGGAATGACAAGTAACAGGCCCAATGGGCAGAAATCCTATTTTAATGGGATAAACAAACATACAAGGAAATAATAATGGAAGAGAAGAAATGACATAAATAAAAATGATCATACAAAAAGTAACCTCGCGATCTGGTGGACGATGGCACAAATTTCAAAATAAGCAAAATAAGTAAGACTCCTTTTTGAATATAAAAGACTAGATAAAACTTTATACACATGGAGATGAGTCAAACTAGTCATCTGCGCACTCACGTTCTCTGAATGTCCCTGGTGCAAAGCACAAGTCAATGTTGTGTACGAGTTAACTTTTAAAAATTAAATGACTTTCTTGATTTTTGTATGTATTAGCCTATGGATGTGGCGCTTTAGACAATCAAAAAGGTTTTTATGAAAAATTTTATGAGAATCTCCATGATGATTTGGGGAAGCATTGTGTTTATTTTCATTATTTCTAGGCATATTTTCGTATCTACGATCCAACTCTTATGAATGATGCGACTTTCTTGATTTTTCGTGTGTACTAATTCGTGGATGTGACTGCACCTTTGATCTGCCAAAGGAATTTTCTCAAAAAATTTTTATGAAGATCTCACAATGAGTCAGAGAAGCATTATGCATAGTTCTACCATTTTTCTGCTGCATATTGTTACATTTACGAGTCAACTTTTAGGAATTACGTGACTTTTTTTTTGTGTATTAACTCATGGGTTTTGATGCCTTGGAGCACCCAAAATTATTTTTAGAATTTTGTTTTTATGAGAACCTCCAATGAGTTGGGTGAGCATTACATATAGCCCCACCATTTTAAGGCATATTTCGCATTTATAAGTCAACTTTTAGAAATTATACGACATTCTTATTTTCTTGTGTGTATTTGCCCATACATCCGTCGCCTTGGAGTATCCAACTTTTTATTTCTAAAATAACTTCATGAGGAACTCTATAATGAGATGGGGAGCATTTCAGTTCCACATTTTCATGCATATTTTTATTTATGTCCCAACTTATAAAAATTACACGACTTACTTAATTTTTGTTTGTATATTATTGACGGTCAAAATGACCCTTTTGGAAGGTCAAGCAAGCCTGGGAGCAAGTAAACTCCCAATTTTGTCGATTTTCGTGTGTTATAGTCCATGTAATTTTGGTGATCCAGAATTCTGACGTTTTTTTTGCCCAAATTTTTTTGGGCGTCCATTAAGACGTTAGTTATGCAGTCAATTGGCCTTGATGGTCAAAACAACCCATTTTCAAGGTCAAACGAGCCATGAAGCTAACAAAAACCCATTCTACGGATTTTTGTGTACTTATAGTACATGAATTTTTTGTGATCCAAAATTTCGACGTCATTTTTGCCAAAAATTTTCGTGGATGTCCGTTAAGACGTTATTTATGGAGCTAATTGTTTTTGACGATCAAAATGACTCATTTTGAAGGTCAAGCGAGACTTGTAGTAGGTTAACACCTTATTTTGCCGTTTTTATGTGCTATAGTCCACAATTCTTTTGGGTGATCTAGAATTTCGACATCTTTTTTGCCCAATTTTTTTTTGGATGTCCGTTAAGACGTTAGTTATGGAGATACTTAGTCCTAGCAACCAAATCGACCCATTTTGAGGTCAAACGAGCCCCGAAGCAAGTAAATCTCCCATTTTACCAATTCTCGTGTGATATAGTCCATGGATTTTTAGTGATCTAGAATTTCGACGTCGTTTTTGTCCAATTTTTGGATGGATGTCCTTTAAGACGTTAGCTATTGAGTTAGTTGGCTCTGACGGCCAAAACAACCTATTCGAGCGCTGACGCAAGTTAATACCCTTTTTTTTAATCGATTTTCATGCCCATGGATTTTCATGTCCATGGATTCTTGGACGTCCGTTAAGACGTTAGCTATTGATCTAGTTGGCCCTAACGGCCAAAAAATTCCATTTTCAATGTCAAACGTGCCCCGATGCAAGTAAATCCCATTTTGCCGATTTTAGTGTACTAAAGTCCATGGATTTTTGGCGATCCGAAATTCCAACGTCATTTTTGTCCAATTTTTTCTGGACGTCTGTTAAGACGTTATGTATGGAGTAGTTGGCCTTGAATGCAAAAACGACCCATTTTAAGGTCAAATGAGCCCATAGTAGGTGAATCCCTCATTTTGTTGATTTTCGTGTGCTATAGTCCACGATAATTTTCAGTGATCCAGAGTTTTGGCTTTTTTTTACCTCTTTTTTTTATAGACGTCCTTATGGAAGTAGTTGGCCCTTTTTTTATAGACGTCCGTTAAGACGTTACATATGGAAGTAGTTGGCCCTGAAGGCCAAAACGATCAATTTTGAAGGTAAAACGAGCCGAGGAGCAGGTCCATTTAATCGATTTTTGTGTGCTATAGTTCATGGATTTTTGATAATCCAGAATTTGGACGTCTTTTGTGCTAAATTTTTGGGCACGTCCGTTAAGACGTTAACTATGGTTTCAATTGCCCATGACGGCCAAAATGACCAATTTTCAAGGTCAAATGAGCCCCAAAGCAGGTAATGCCCATTTTCCCGATTTTTGTGTACTATAGTCCATGAATTTTTGGTGATCCTCAATTTCGACATTATTTTTGCCCAAATTTCGCGTGGACGTTTGGTAAAGACGATTTCTATGAAGCCAATTGACTCTGATGACCAAAATAATCCATTTTGAAGGTCAAACGAGCCCGTTAGCAGTTAAACACCTCATTTTGTCGATTTCCTTGTGCTATAGTCTACGATCTTATTTGGTGATCAAGAATTACGATGTATTTTTGCCCAAATTATTTTTGGACGTCCGTCAAGACAGTAGTTATGGAGCCTGTTGGCCCTGATGGCAAAAAGGGTCCATTTTGAAGGTTAAACGATCCCCAGAGCAGTAAACACCTAATTTTTTCGATTCTAGTCTGCTATAGTCCATGAATTTTCACTGATCCAGAATTTTGATGTATTTTTTTCCCAAATTTTTTGTGGACATCAGTTAAGATGTTAGTTGTGAAGCCAGTTATCTCTGACGATCAAAACGACCTATTTTCAATGTCAAACGAGCCCAGAAGCAGGTAAATCCCATTTTGCATATTTTTCGTGCACTATAGTCCATGGATTTTGGTAATCTGGAATTCCGACGTCATTTTTGCCCAAATCTTTTGTGGACAACCGTTAGGACTTATCTCAATGTAGCCAGTTGGCCCTGACGGCAAAAACAACCCATTTTGAAGGTCAAACGAGCCCTGTAGTAGGTAAACCCCTCATTTTGATTATTTCGCGTGCTATAGTCCATGATCTTTTTTGGTGTTCCAAAATATCGACGCCTTATTTGCCCAAATTTTTGTGGACATCCATTAAGACGTTAGCTATGGAGGCAGTTGGCCCTGATGGCTAAAATGATCCATTTTCAATGTCAAACGATCCCTGAAGGAGGCAAAACACATTTTGTTGATTTTCATGTACTGTATTCCATGGATTTTTGGTGATCCGAAATTCCAACGTCATTTTTGCCCAAAATTTTTGTAGACGTCTGTTAAGTCATTATCTATGGAGTCAGTCAACCCAAACGGCCAAAATAATCCATTTTGAAGGTCAAGCGAGCCTTGTAGAAGGTAGACCCCTCATTTTGTCGATTTTTGTGTGTTATATACTCCATGAATTTGACGCCTTGGAGCATCCAAATTTTTTTTTTCTAAAAAGCTTTATGAGGACCTCTGTAATTACTTGGAGGAGCATTACATATAGTTTCACAATTTTTAAGACATATTTTTGCATGTACGAGTCACTTTTATAAATTACGTGACTTTCTTTATTGTCTATGTGTATTAGCCTATGGACCTGACGCGCACCCAAAAGTATCAGTTTATTAAAAAATCTTAATGTCCTAAGTATCAGTTTTGTATTTTGGTTAATTACATAAGCCTTGATAGCTCATGTACTAAAATAACCACCTTTTTTTTAACCTTTCGTTGTTTGGAGTAAAGCAGTATTATAATTTCATTTGATCAGACTTAATGAAGTACATTGGACAATCTCATCGAAAGTACGCTTTGAAATTTTTTGTCCCATCACTATTATTTTTAGTCCTGCACACCAAACGATCTCTTAAATGTTAGATCAGTGACAGAAGAAGATTACTAATTTCTGGCATGATTTGTTCCTTTATTGTACAGACTAACACTGCATATTTCTTAAAGAATACAAAATTGATATATTATGTACATACAGTACTCTTTCTCATCCTCCATTGTGTTGTTGCACAACTAATATTGTGGAATTACTTTGTGAATCTTCTAAAGCAAACATGTCTCCTACAGGGCCTAATTCAGACTCTTCAACCCAATCAGTTAGACCAAGTAATAGAGGAGATTGTGAGTCATGACGTCTACCAACAATGATTAGTTCATATTCGTCTTCCATGGATCGCATAACAGAAGCTGTACCTGTTCCATCTCTTATCAACTTCTCCACGTACTTGACACGATAATTACCTGCCATATCCCTCCTTGCTTCACTTAACATTTCATTGTCCATCATCTTCTGTATTCTCTCGTTATTGCTACTATTATTGCTGTGATTACCACTTTCATGAAGGAGTACTAACCGCACTATTGTGAGGCTAATGTTTTGTTTTCCAGCCATACGCTCTCCCAGAGCTAGTGCTTCCCTATCATCTGGTCCTCCCAAGAAAAGAACACCAACACGGTACAATGACCACGCGTCTAGTATTGGCCTTGATGTGTTGACAAGTGACCTGTCTACAATTATTGCAACTGAACAAGGTGTTGTCTGAAGGATCTTGTCATTCATAGTCTTAATCCCTATCTTCGATGCCCTCTTCTGATTCACGGAAGAAGCAGTACTACTTGTTAACCTCTTGTGGAAAGGAATCATTACGAGAGATGCCCTCCTTTGAAGCGCCATTGTACA